CCCCCCCACCTCCCTTGCACTCCCGAGCACACGTATCGGGGGCGCCGATCGCTTCTTCCCGCGACATCATAATTACTCAGAGATCGAGACGACATGAGCAATATCGGCGACTATAGGTGCCGAGGCTGGAAATCTTTGCCCCCGTGAGGAGCCCAGGGGAGACAGTGACGTATTGCCACTGCGGCATTTGCCTGGCTTTTCGGCTCTTTTACCCCCAGCTTTTGATGGATATATTGGCTTTCGCGATTTATGAGATAACGTTATATCCAATGAAGTCTTGGGTGCTCGGTCGCCTCGGACCTACCTACCTCCACCTCGCCCCAACGCCCCCGTCTCATTCACTGGACACCTCCTTCGGCAACGACGTCGACGAGCTCGAGCAACGAATGTATCCGCTACAACAACAACAACGACCACCACCACCTCCCTCCATCCTCCCCCCCCCCCCTTTTTTTTTCTCGCCCCGCTAGTGGCGATTGCAGCTTAGATGCCGACTAGAGTGCGCTTCGGCCAAATAACTTTGAATCCTCGGCTCATTGTTCGCCGCGAATCTTAGTGCACGGCAATGGGGATTTATATCGGTCTCGATGTACCAACGGGAAGTACGCGAGAACTTGGACATTTTTTGCGTGGAAACTGAAGGGGAAGCCGAAGATGAGAGAAAGGGTCATATCGACGATGTAAATTGCCAGTGCGAGAGTGCTGTAGGTGATTTTTGTCTTGCCAACGCCAACGCACCGCAACAACCGAGTACTCTCCAGCTGAGCTTCACATATTGTTCGCAATATGTGCGCAGCAAGCACGCAAAATTTTTCTTATTTAATGCTATGATCGCCGGCCCATCATCGCACTACACTAATGGTACACATTATAGGGCCGAAGGCCCGTATGAACGATTCTCTAAAGGATCTAAAGGACAATGTCTAATTGGTTTGGAATGGAAGAGCCAGGGACCGGCGGCCGGTAATTGTCCAAAAGGACAAAGTCTCGGGCGGCAAAAATCAACGCTTCGCCCTACCTCGTTCCATGAGGAACAAAGGAAGTCGCGAGCGAGCAATCACGCGCTCGACATTTCATAATTCGAAATTGTGCTGGGCTGGCGGAGCGTCGGCGCCGACGTAGGAGGACGAGCGGAATAATCGGCGAGGATTGCGCAACGACTCGATTTAATGTGGGCCGAGATATGGATCTCGGGTGCTTACGAATGGCGGCGAGCTGAATCGTCGTTTTCCAGTCGCGAATTTCCACATGATCAACGGTGCCCCGTTAAGCGTTATTAATGAATAACAACGTCGGGCTCGCGGGTAATGGAGTGCTAAAGCCGCGGTTGTTACGCTCGAGCTCTACCGTTAATTGCTTAGCCTGTCCCACTTGTAGATCCACGAGTACGTCGGAGTAGGTCGAGTCCGAGGATCCGGTCGACCGAGAGAGGAAGTGCAAGATAAGAGTGAAGCTATCGATTGCTCGCCGGTGCGCCCCGCGCGTTCGTAATTAATTGCGTTATCGGGGAGGAAAAAGGCGCGCGCGCTGTGGTAACAGTTACAAGGCGGTGGCGCGCATCATATCGCCGAAACACCGGCAAAAAACGACTCACCGAGAGGTCGACTTGTGCCTAGAAAAATAAAAAAGCGCTGAGAAGCCACTGCCGCCGCCGCCGCCGCCGCCGCCGCCGTCGCCGCTACTCGTGACTCAGACCGACGGATCGGCATGGTCGAATGAACAGCGCGGGAGGAAGATAGATAGAGAGAGAGAGAAAGAGAGAGAGAGAGAGAGAGTGAGTGAGTGAGAGCGCGCCCGAGAGAGCGTTGAAGGGAAGGAGAGGAGAGCCTCGAGGAAGCAAAATAGACAAAAATAGTCCGCGAGCATTATGGAGGCATGTCCTTTGCCGGACCCCCGCTGATCAGCTCGGCATCGGCAGCGGAATGCCACCCCCACCTCCCTCGCTGACCTTCCCTCCCCTCTTCCATCGTCCTCCCATCCACCGTTCTTTCTCCTTCGCTTCCCTCATCCTCCGCCACCGCGCTCTCGGTCTTTCTCTCTCTCTCTCTCTCTCTCTCTCTCTCTCGCTCTCTATTATAAATATCTTCACCCAAAGGCTAAAGGCGTGGGACCGACTTTGCTCCAGCGAGACCTCCTTCCCCTCTCGCTGTTCGACGCTCTCACTCACTCCCTCACTCTCTCACTCTCTCTCTCTCTCTCTCAATCTCACTCTCTCGCTCTCTCCCTCTTGTCGTCGTTCGATCTCTGATCTTGTGCGGCTGCGCTTGTGTGCCCATATCTTTGTGCACGGCGGCGGAGGAGAGCGTCCGCCGACACGCTCCAGCAGACGTGATGCTCGATCTCGGCGAGATCTTGCGCTTTCAGTCCCCGAGCGAAAGAGGATCATTGACAGATAGGCATTCTGTCTCCTTTTAACGCCCCCCCCACCCAACCACCCCAATCGACACCCCCAGCTCCTTATTTTTCGATTATTGTAACGCGCGGAACGAGACTCGACGATCTGGAAGGGGTTGCCCTGGACGATAGAAATAACGCGGGAATAGAATCGGGGTGTCGGGGGGTGGGGGAAATTGCGACAAGGTGAGTAAGGTGGGCGGCGCTGTAGGGTGAAGGGGAGAGCGGAGAAAGCCTCGAGCACGGCGAAGGCTGCCCGGTTTAGTGGACAGACGCAGCTCGGCCGCGCCCACCTCACGACGCAATGAACTTTGAGCTTCAAAGGGCTATTTAAAAACAATAAAGGGGGAAATGTTTATGTTCAATTTGTTGGACCATCGCTTATAAATGTCAATAAGATTTAAATACTTCCTCCTGGAGGATTAATAGAAAATACACGAGCGAGCGCTGCTCCGACGCTGCCCTCGCGGCTCTAAACCGACCTTTTTCATTTCGCCGGCCGATGTTGTTGGGTCGTATACCATTCGTATGACAAAGAGAAAAAATTTCGTTCGCAGCTTACTTTCATTTAAGCCGTAGTTATTCCCGCACTCTTATATATATATATATATATATATATATATATATATATATATATATACATAAATTTATCGTAAATAATTATTAACTATTGTCGTGGTTAAAAAGCTTTCTCGCTCATTGATCTTGGCTAATTCTTTCTAAAGCGCAGCCTTGATTGCGTAACCGCTGTCACCGGTTTGGTCATCTTCAAGATTTTATCAAATCACAATCAACATATAATGTCCAACATTTAATAACATTGATTTGCCAATAAATTTTTAACACCATCGAGTATATTAGCATTTAAAATACAACAATCTTTAAACGCCAACCGTACTGTATAGTCCTATAAAAATTTTATTTTTATACGAACTCTATGTATTTAATAGAATTATAAGGTATTATTAAAGGGGCGTTGATAATTCGCTTCTGCCATCGCCTTGTTTAACCGACATAACAATGACTAATAGGTTATAATTAAGAGAGAGAGAGAGAGAGAGAGAGAGGGAGAGAGAGAGAGAGAGAGACCGTAAAAACAAAAAATGCACCGTTAGTTGTATAAAGTTGGAATATCACTTTCTTCGCGTGCAAGTGCGATCTATCGTTGTAGAATATTGAAAGAAAATAATTGACTAGACAAGTGACATTGCCAACATTATTTCCAATAGTACCAACGATCAACCAATGACATTATTTATAATTTTCGTTCATAATTTTACTCGCAACGTTACGCAAAAAAGTCACTCTCCCGTTACAAAAATAATAATGAATTTTGTCGCAAGGAAATAGTTGTTCGATAATATCTGTGTGTTAATATAATAATGATGGTGGCAGATATTCAACGACAGAGCAAATATTACATGGCTCATTTAATAAATTCTCTAAGCTTATATAGAGCACTGGAATTCTTATATTATAAAACAAAAAGTACTTATTCTTATAATAATCGTCCGTGAAGTGTGTTAAGGCAATTTAACCACTGGTAATTTTTATTTTTTATTAATTTGCAAATATATCGATACGCTCTTATATCTAATATAAATATTTGACGTGCATGACGTTTTACGAGCACGAATTTTTTTAAACGATCAAATGCAAATTCCGGCCAACGGACACGTGCGCTTGAATGCGAATTTTCGATCGTCTCGACAAGTCGAATGAATATATATTCTTAAATCTGGAATGCGACAGTTTGTATGCAAGGAGGTTTATAGCGACTAATTTGTTAAAATCAAATACGAAAATTACCCGGCAATTTCAATGGATAATGCCTTTAGCAGGCAACGCACTTTCAATTTTGAAGTTACGTGTGAAGTCTAGCAGGATTGAATTGAGAGTTTGATACACTCGAACTCTCCTTCGTTAATTATCTGAAATATCAGTGGAAGTTAAGCAGCATAAGAAATAACATATCGAGAGACACGCGGACCGAAATGAACGGTACAGAGGCGATATTGTAAGAGATGGTGATTGGGAGATCGAGCTCGGGAGAGCCCGCGAGCCGAGAGCCGAGAGCCGAGAGCCGAGAGCCGAGAGCCGTGAGAGAAAGAGAGTGAGATAGAGTGAGAGAGAGTGAGAGAGAGAGAGAGAGAGGGAGAGAGAGAGAGAGAGGAAACGAAGAAAGAGAAGTGGAGAGGATGATCCCCGATCGCCGCCTCGTGCCCCGCAAAGTCAAGATTGAAGCGATCGCTTTCATTTTTCTTTCTCCTCTTTTTCTACTACCTGGGCTACTTCTCCTCGGCGGCGCGCAGCTCCTTCGTTTCGCCCTCGCCGAATATCCTTTTTTCTTCTCCTGCTCGTTTTGTTATACCTGTCGTTCCGTGACTGCTGCACGCATTTGGGACATTTAATTCCAATAATTGTTACCGACAAGTGCAGCCAGCGAAATCTAACGAAATCTCCCCTTCTTCCCGTAGCTGATTTTTCATTCTGGGTCGTTGGCAACGGTCCCCATGAATTAATGCCGATACATTAATGCAGATACGTTAATTTGCCAACGGCACTCGACATTACGACATTTTCATCCTGATCTCCGATTCGCATGACTATAACTAACGGCCTTATCGCTCCTTAACGTCTCTGCGAAATTAAATCAGCTGCTTTATATTTGTCATTAAGCTGCATCGATTCCTCGCTCGCAAAGGTTAGAATCTACTCGGCCGGCGCGTCATTGTCTTACAACATGATCGAGCACGAACGTTTTAATCGGTGCCGAGGAGCTCGTAACGGTCCTTTCATGCCGACCAAACGGCTTCTCCTACATTCTATTATTATAACACGCAATTCAAGCTTTCCGATAGATTAAAGCAAATCTATCGATTGAGGTGATGAATGGGCCCAGTTAAAATTACATAGTTTCGTCACAATTTCGAGCGGCAGCGGTAAATTGACGCGCGGAACTATGTGCAAATATTAATTGTCGGCACATGTCATGTAATTTCAAAGAACTTTTCAAACAAGCAGCCGTAGAAAATAGGTTTCGCTCGGTCGCGATCGCGTTCGCGCCATTAAAACGGCGCGCAATGGCGTTTAATGCTTTCGAAAAGGATGCTCATTTTTTCTCACCTCGTCGTCCCTTTGTATGTCGATGCTTTTTCAAAGCGAGCAGAGTGAAAATGGCCAAACTTTCACCAATACATGATCGCGGCGATTCCTCGCGGGCTTTATCGCTTTTATGTAGCACAGGTTGGAGCGCGCAATAATGGCATTTGACAGCGAGTACGCGGAAATCAAGAGAAGAGTCAGATGCCGAAGCTCATTTTTCATCTCGTCATCTGTATTACAAAATATCACCATCAACGTTCTGCTAAAGCAATTTGTACAAGTTGACCGATCTCGCGCTTTTTACCACCACCAGCATCACCAACAACAACAACAACAACAACAACAACAACAACAACAACCCTGCCTTCCCTCCTCGAGGCTCCTTAGAATTATAATACACCCCCAAACACTGAGACTCCACGTGAATTGTGTGACTTTCTTGAAGAAAGAGTAGAGTGTGAAACAGTGCAGCTAGCGTATACAATGTAAATGAATAATTAGAATGACGTGGCGTGGGGAGGGGTGTGGGAGTGGAGGGAGGAGATAGGAATAATAAAGATAGCCATAATATATAAATTATTGTTCATAAATAATCACTCGCCTTATTAAAGGTGCAGTTTTAATACTTGGCCAAAGAGAGGCGAATGATACGGAAAAAAGGAGAAAGGAGAGAAAAGAAAACGACGTCGTGGATTCAGCGCGGGCTATATGAACTTTTTCTTTATTCTTGCGCGTAGTTTATACTCTTCATTATACGGAGAAATAATAATACTTACTTTTCGTAATATTATATGCGTTTACATATAGTTTTAAGGCTACAAGTGCGCACAAGTTTTAAGTTACGTTTGGCTTTCTGCAATTATTTTACTGTTAAATGTACTTCATTTGACATTCCCGAAAAGGAACTATCATTGTAAATTATCAGTGATGTTAATGCACAATCGCGTACGCTTTTTTTGCTTTGCCTTTTTTATTTCATTTTTTTTTGTTTTTGTTTTAAGCATTATTAAATGTCCGATTCCACGTGATCAAAGGACCCAAAATCCTTGTGTTCTCTTCGAGAGGATGAAATTATAAAAGAATTTTAATTCGCGATCTGAATTAAGGTGTGCTTAGACAAAGACAAAGTAAATCTATGCGACTCGTTATTTTACTTTTTCACAAAAGAATAACATTCCAAAGGGGAGGAAAATATTTTATCTCCCAATCAAAGACAAAACACATATTTTAAAATTTCATTTCTACTTTCAAAATAAGACGGATGTTTATCATTAAATAAAAACAAATATTTTTGTATTTACGCATGCATGTTATTATCCTTTTGTGTGTGTGTGTGCGCGCGCTTATATATATATATATATATATATATATATATGTCCATATATCTATGATGCAAACGATGCAAATAAATATATTTGGAAATATTTATAATTTACATTATAAAACTTTGATTTCATATAATAATAGATGAATCTCGTTTTCTTATTAGCCGTTATAAATAATTGCTCGGCATATAAATTCTAATCTAAAATCACTCTATTACAAAATGACTACAAAAATTTTAAAACTAAATTCCAGGTTTGACATAACTTTTTTCCACCCAATGTTACCATTTCTATTTCTGACATAATATATTACGCCATCGCGGTTAAAAAATTGTAAAAGTCTCTAATTAAAATTTATATCTTAAAGAAAGATTGAGAATAAACTAGACTTATTATAATATACGTGTGCGGAAGAAAATGATTTTTTTTTTGTAAAAATATTGATCAGTGGATAATCCATTTATCTCAGCAAAAAATAAACATCGCATAGGACGAGTAAAAGTAATAACTATATTCATTAGAAAAAATCATATTTCAAAAAGAATTTTTTTTTATTCAACGCGATTTCTACGGAATGTATACATTGAAATCAATTGATTTTGAGATAGGACTTTCTTTTGACTAACGGAATCGTTTTCAGCGAGAATGGTATCCTCATCCCAATATTAGTGCCATCTCGTGTATACATATGAAGATATATATATATATATATATACACACACACACACACACACACACATATGTGTGTAGATGTACGAGAGTGAGTGAATGAATGAATTAGTGTGCGCGGGTGGGCGTGTGCGCGCGCGCGTGTAAAGGGACAAGGGACAGGCGAAGGAAGGACCGCGCGAATGAAATTTTTTCGACTTTTTTTCTGTTACGTGTAGTTTTGGGCTTTTGTGTTCGGTGCTGCTGTTGTTGCTGCTGCCCTACCCTGCCTCGACCCCCAGCTCGATCCCCTCACCACATCCCACCCCACCTGATTCCGCCAGCAGCCAGCCTACTTTCTCTCTTTTTTGTCGATGAAGCCTCTCGATTGGCAATTGTTGTATCGATGTTAGGGTGTCTCGGGTTTGTGCATTATCGGGGGCCCCGTTGGACTCCGCGCCGAGAAGCTCATATGGCCAATGTCGGGGGCACCGGCCACAATTGCCAATCGAGCCACCACCACCGAAAAACGAAAACAAGTGTCGGCGAGCGGGGGAGGAAGAGGGCGGCGACGGCGACGGTGGCGTTGGCATTGGCGTTGGCAGTGGCGGCAGCAGCGGGCAGCAGGCAGCAGCAGGCAGCAACAGCAGCGGTAGCAGCAACAAACAGAAATGCGCGTAACACAAGGGAAAAAGGAAGAAGGAGAGTAAAAAAATGCCGAGAGACAGTGCGGCGCGAAGGAATCGCATTGGATACGTGGGGCCCTCGGTCTCGCCCCGGTCCCGGTCTCAATGGGACCACAGAGGGCGTAATGTTCCTGCTGCGATCGCCCACGAATATGAAGGGACGCTAGCTGAGACGCTGGACCTCGTTAATCGTTGTGGAAAGATCGTGGGGATGGGATTGGCCCAGGCCAAGTAAATACGGCGACGGGCAATGAAACGCACCGGCTCGAATCTTTAGACGCTTTGCAGGAATCTCTGTCATTGATGGGATCGACGTTTTTTCGCTGTCGTCGTCGTGTCCCCCCCCCTCCACCCCGCCCCCCCCCCCCCGCCAATCCCCATTGAGCAAGCGAGTCTCGCGCCGTTGCCTTTCCTGCTACGGATGGCTAGACGCTCGACTAACCAAGGTATTTGACGTGACTTTTGACGATTCTCCTGGTTGGTATTCCTTTAACATTTGTCTAGGATTCGCCGCTGAGAGAGCCGTTGGCATGACAAGCTTGAAAAGTTTCGATTTGCCGATCGAAGCGATTAATTGGATTCCGACAGCTGCGTTTCGTTAAATCGACATTGTCAATGGCTTGCTAAAGAAATTAATCTCTACACTTGGCGCTTTCATGAGTCGCTAAACAATTATTATTGTTACTTTGGTGAATACATCTTTTGCAGGTACTATTATTATAAATAGTACATCGATCAGCGGCATTGTCATATAATGTGTGCCAGCTGTCCATATTGGTTAATAATTTGATTGGGAAAGGTTAACTGTTGTTGTATTGATTTATTGTATTGGGAATGAACTAAAGAATAAGCCAATGAATGTTTACTATAATTGAGCAGCGCCACGTTGCATTGAAAGTCAGAATAGAAATTGCAACAACGCCATTGGTTACGGCTTGAGATTACGGGAAGTAAATATATAAGGTAATGCATGAAATGTTAATGTAAGTTCGAGTGAAATAATCGGTAGATGGACATAAGATGGATATAATTGAGGGATCGTTAATAGCTAATAAGCGTACTGGTAGATTGACCTAAATACAAATTATCAAGAGAGTACAATTCATTCGAATGATAAGTATTATTGGCCGTGTTGATAATAACCGCACTGGCTAGAATCCATTTGAGATGGAATTACATAAATGCAATTGCTATTATAATCCTTTTTTTCTTCTTTTTTTTTTACTTTAGCCTCCACGTAGTAGTATTTATAAGTGCACTATAAGTCAACTATCAGAGGCGAGGCTGTGATCCATAAACATAAATAATTAATCAATTAATTACCGAGACGGTCTAATGTAATGCCCGAGAGGCATTCATAACAAAGATGTTAATCGACATTCCCGAAAGAGAAAACGAGAGGCTCGATGGGAGAGAGGGTGAGCTACACGGGGAATTTCGAAAATCACCGAAGTATATCAAACTCGAAAAACCAAATCTCCTCCTCTCACAGTTGGCCGTCGGACACAGCCATACCACGGGCGCCCATCTTGTTATGCGCGACCGACAAAAGCTCGCCCGCGGTGCAAAAGCCCATTGGATTTTTCAAGGAGTGGACGCGCAGAGGCTTTTACGATGTCGAGTATCGTTTCTTTCTCATAATAAAGGCAAGCGCGCGCGCGCAAAAGAAGCAAACACGAGTGCGAATGAAATGTTTGCGTTTCGGCGACGTCGCGTAAATCATTCGATTTGCCGTATGAATTATTCACGAAAGGCGTCGCGCGGCCCCGTCGACCAATAGGAAAAGCGCAGCCGGACGCGCGAAATTTTCGACGAAACGAAATATAAAAGGCTGATGATGAGCGGCAGAGCGGGGGGAGGGAGGGGGAAGGGAGGGCGCTGCCGAGCATGGAGCCGTGCGCCACTCGCGGAAACCCATCGCGCGCCGTCTTTAATTATCGGCCAGTTCGTTCCCGCGTGGATTTGTTTTTTGTCCCCACGTATTGTGCAATTTAATATTCTTTGAATTCGCTATGGGAAGCTCGAGGAAGACAGAAGGGGCACGATCGGGCGCGAACAAACGACTCGAAGAGCTCGGACAGGGTCGCGGATTCGAAGCGCGCCACCTGCGGCGCGACGCTTTTGCATAAATTACGACCGATAATTAACGATTCGTATGACAAAGCGCATAAATGAAGAAATGAAGAAGTTTCTTATTGATGCTGAACCCGGCTTAATGGAGTGGAAGCTATTGGACGAGGACCGCACGGTGACGTCAGTTCTAGTCTCTCCTCCTCCGACCCACCCACCCACACACACGCGCGCGCACGCGCACAGTTTTACACAATATAAAAGCCAATACCTTGTATTATTGCCAATAATGACTCATTATTACACTTCACATGTTAGTTTTAACAGATCTCCTCCAGGCGCAGAATAACGTTGCAATAAGATAAAAAGCAGCATTCGCATCAAGTCAATAACGGCCATTGAAAAGAGAAAAGAAATCGAAATACATATATATATATATATATATATTTATACACATATATACGTACGAATGTGTGTTTATATTTACGTACGAGTATTTGTGTATGCGAGCGCGTGCGCGCGCGCGTATGTATATATATCCGTATATATATATATATATATATATATATATATAGATGTACTCGCATCGAGTCCCTCTACAACTTCATTATCCTTAACAAGTCCCTTAATAACGCTAATTCCGAGCGTGAACACGCGGGACACGCA